GGCGCCACGTTGTTTCTGGTCTTCGCGCTCACCCACGAGCCAAGGGATTCATTAGGAAGCCTTCGATGAGAGCGGTTGGCGCTGCGGCTTTGCAGCACCGGGGCCCAGAGTTCAGTTCTCTGCATGAAGAGCGTATGTGCAGTGGCGTCATGCGGGGGGGGTCGCGGCCCGCACCTGGGTGACACCATTGGAGGGGTGACACCAAAATGAGGATGAGGTATGCCCGCCGGGTGAACGTCCCCTCCTCTCTCTGCCGGCGTCCGTCACCAAGATGGCCGCCGGCAGGAATCAATAAGGTGGTCGCGCATGTGCGATGATGTCACGCGCACACACGTGGTGACGCCACGCACATGGGCGAAGGAGTCATGGCGGGGTATCACCCCCGGCCCCGGGACGCCCCTGCTGTATGTTCATCCCGTGTTTGTGCGACTCTCCTCCACGGATCCCAAAACATACCAACGGGCCAGAGCAGGGGCGGGCAACCTCGGCTCTCCAGCTGCGCTGAAACTACGCATCCCACCATGCCTCTGGGAGTCGTGCCTGTGGCTCGCAATGCCTTATGGGATTTGTAGTTTCAGCGCCAGCTGGAGAGCCAAAGTCGCCCAGCCCTGGGCCAGAAGATCCGAAACGAAAGCTGGCGGCACCCTATTATAATCCAATACAAGAAAAGCTTTATCGTTCCAGGCGGGAAAACACGAACCTGGGACCTCCTCTGATACGTTCACCTGCAGGAGGAGGTCCCAGGCGGGGCTTGGTGATTGCCTGTCGGGAACAATAAAGCTTCACTTGCATTGGAATGAACGAAGAGCCGTCGCCGACTTCTTTCTGAATGTCTTCATGTAGGGACGCACCGATACCGGTATTTTGGTACCGATACTTTTTCCCCGCGACTCGCCGATACCGGAAGGCCCATTCAGGGCGGCCTGCAATGACTCTTCACCCGGCTTCCCGATTAACAAGAAAGTCCGTCTCCCTCCCCGGGGGCCTCTCCAGCCAGGACGCGGCCTTCCTGTAATGACGCGGCGCCCGGCTTCCTGATACAGGAAGTACTCGGAGCATTTGGGCGAGTACTGGCCCGAATACTCGGTACCGGCACCAATGCTAGCATCGGCGCGTCCCTATTTTCATGTAATATGACACTGTGGCCTCTAGGGGGCGATGAGGAGCACCGAGCACAAATACTTCTCTCTCCTTTGGCCCCATCTAGTGGCCGCAATCTGATATTACATGACAACGTTCCGATATTCATTTCACCGGTAAAGAACGTTTCCTGCGACATAGATTCACACCGGGTGAAAGTCGACAGACAGTCCAACACGTCTGTGAATTGTTCATACGGAGACACCCCCCCCCCGCACTGTTTGGGGTTCCACAATATGTAACGCCGTGCTTCCAGGCCCGGCAGAGTTGAAAACGGAGTCACGTGACTTCTTTCCCCCAATAATGTCGCCCCGGCACTCCGCCCGGAGAGATCTGAGGGCAATTTTGTGGCCACGTCAGTGAAATTCGGGCTTGTGTCACCTAAAGGGGAATAATTGCAGCCTCAGAAATCGCAGTCTCACGTTTTGAAGGCAGTGTAGAACGTACAGAGGCGAGGACATATTATGGGATGCCGGCGACTTTTTCCGGGACACGGCTTGTGAAATACATTTGTAACGATAAATTCTGCGACTGTCGCGCCGGCCAATCGCAGGAGAGCCGCTCACCGTGACCCCCGCCTGCTTGTGATTTGTCATTTCAGATGAAGAATGCCATCGAGGATCTCGCCAACCCCAAATAAGTGGCCCCCCCCGTGCGGAGGAGGAGGAGGAGCCAGCGCTCGGTGTGTGTAGATCTTATGTCCAATCGTCACAAATCTGCAACAATGTCAATATTTTACGTCACCTGATCAGACAGGAAGTGCGCCGCTCGGGGGACGGTGACAACGCGTCTCTCGCCGTTGTGTGAAGTGAGGAGGGGGAGGGGCCTCTAATTATTCGGGGGGAACTGCTGGAGAGTTTGTATTAGGGATGAGCCGATACCGGAAGTCCCGTTAGGTAAGCCGGGCGGCGTGTAACAACGTGGCGGCCGGCTTCCTGATTGACGAGGGAGCATGAAGCCGGCTTCCCGGCCAACCAGAAAGCCGGGCGCTTGTGTCATTACAGGGAGCCAGTTTCCCGGCCAATCAGGAAGCTGGATGGCGAG